CTTTTTTTGTAAAGTAATAAGAGACTGAAGAGAAGTTTTATAAGTATTTCCCCAGGTGATGCAACTATAAGATAAAAAAGGGTAAATCAAAGTATAATAAAGCTGAACGAGTACTTACCGGCTTAAATAATATCTAATCTTTGAAAGGATTCCGATACTGCGTTTAATTTTTTTTGGATCTAGTCACTCATAGCTCGTCTATTAGTACGGTGACCCCCATTTTTTTCTTTTTTCTTTTCATTCGGAGCTAGATATCATATTCTTTGGATTTAGTGCGGAAAGAAAAAAAATTCATAGTTAAAATTGTCATGACTTCTTAACATTTTTACAACTACACACGCATATAACTGCGCCGAATTACAAGCAATTTCGCTTCTAGAATTAACTTTTCACACTACTTGCAAAAAATTGGATGGATTTTTTATCTAGATATGTTTTCTAGACTCAACACCTATAGTTTAAAACAGTTTTATATTTTTCTTTGTTAAATCGATTCGAGTAAWTGGAATTTATTAGAGGAGGCAGATTTTCTGCAAAAACGCGCGGAAAACTGAAAAATCCCTCCTTTTTGAAGCCTTATATCTCGATAACCATTACGGTGACCCCTTTCTCTTTTTTCATTATTTGAATACCCTAACAATGAACTTTAAATGACAGAATTATAGAAGAATTTTGAAGATCCGGTACTACCTTAAATGACATACGATATAACTGACATGGAGTTCATCCCGGTGTAAGGGTGTAAAACTTATCCGAAGTCCCGCGTAMTGGCTGGTCAACTTGGTTGCTCTGTTTGCGACTGCTTACGACCTTTTATCGACTGGAAAACGTTTGACCAAAGTTTCAAACATGATTTGGTAAGATTCAGTGATCTCCACAAGGTAATCGCAGCCATTTTTGAAGTGATTTATATTTTATTTTTCTATTTTTTGGAACAAGTTAGGCACACAGGTGTCATCGAATGTGTCAAGTGTTGTTTAATTAAAGTGCTTTCAGTTAAGCTACACGAAGCATGTTAACAATGTCGCTTCAAGAATGATCTTTACCAAACCGATGTGATGTGAAACTGACTYAGATTCTTAAAGTGACAATATTTGAGCCCTTTAAAGGGATAACTGATCAGCTCCATAAGCAGAATATTAAGTCCTGAATACCTACAAGTGAATATTTTACATATATATGATTCAAAAATGTCGCTGTGTATCTATCAGCAGTAGACACATGTACTCATCGAGTACGTATTTTTTTAACTTTGCTTTAAAAATAAAGAAAAATAATACTCAATGAAATAACTTGACCTGTTCCAGAACGTAAAACAACAACAACAACGGAAAACAAATACACACAAAACACAACCACAAACAAACAAACAAACGAACAAAAAATATATATTATCTATGTATAGTAAAAAATGATGATAATGAAATATCTTAATATTTTACAGTCACCCATCTAGGTAGAAATCTCGCTTAACCGGGCTTGACTCTTAATTTMTAAGGATTGCAATATCATTGTAATTGTGCTAATAACTATTTTTCTCGAGATTTTATAATTGACAATGGTAAGGTGCTTGACACCATTTTTTAAACCTCATGACCCCTGACGACGTGCGTCAAAAGCTGTCATTTTTCTTGCTTTTATTTTAAAATCAATATAATTTAATTTGTTTTTGGATGAGCTGGAAGACGAAACTCAGGCGATGTCGGCCTGCTGAGTGACGACAATTGCTAACCATATACGGCTGCTGTACTGATTAAAGTCAAGAGAAAAACGAGCGATTATATAATTATATAAAGCAAAAGGTTGTTCTTAAAAGTAAAGTTATA